GCTCAGCGGCAACTCAGCTTGGGCCGGGCATCGAACCACTGTTGCTCAGAGCTCAAACTCTTGAGCGAGCTCTTAACCAACTGAGCCACTTGGCAGGCCCTACATGTGTCTTTTTATTAATAATTTCCCTCCATCCTTCACCACACAAAGTGGTGAAGTCCTTTAACAAATTACAAGCCAGGGACCATCAAAGAGTCTGGGCTCTGCACCGTGTCAGCTCAGAGCACCAGGCTGTAATTTTAGACAGATGATGGTGAACTTGGGGAATCCTGATGTGTGGACTTGGGTGCCTCCAACCCCAGATGCAGGGGAAACAGCCAGTGCTCCTTGCCCACATGACCCAGAAAACATTTCTTAATGAATCGTCCGACATGACTCATGCTGGCTCCCACATCTGGCAGATCTGGGTTACATCACTCATGGTCCTCGGTGTCCTGCGGGTTCCTGGGAACGCACTGCCCAGAGTCAAGTGCACCAGCTGCAGCAGCCGGCTGCATTCACAGGCCTCTCTGCGTCATTCTGACAGCCACATGCTATGGGGCTGGCTCCCGCTCCCAGTTCCAGAGGCTGAGCTGGCCACCCCCAAGGAGGCCACCTCCTCTCACTTTCCCATGGGCCTCAGAAATCACCATGGAAGTAAAATTCCATGCCTGGAGGTGTCCAGGGCAGGACTGCATCCTCTGGTTTTCTACACTAATAGTTCCTGGCACCATAATTCAATCGCATTAGCTGTGTTCATCTGGAGAGAGGGGGGAAAAGGCAAACACAAAAACCGGGGCCGTTCACACTCCTCAAATAGGATCAGAGGAGGGGAGAAATAAGTATACACTTTGAAAGAATCCCCAAGAAGAAATATTGACTTAAACAGCTTGTGGCATGCGGCGGATGGTGGCAAGGAGGTGACAATTTTCAAGGAGGCAGAGGCCTCTGTCACACTCCTCCATTGGACTAGGGTCCTGCTATGTTTTCTCCACCACTTAAAATGTCCCCAATACGAACAGTCTGTCTGACACAACATTCCTGATTCTTATCAACTACAGAGGTTTTGAGATCTTTATTTTGTATCCTTTCATTTACTGATCAGGACGCCCCGAGGCGGCGTCGGAGACCCCAGAACCCCCAGCGGCGCCTGGTGTGGGGGGTTCTTTACCCTCCTGCTCATTATGGCTAAAACATGGTGGAGTTCACGCTCAAAGCCTCCCTCACTCCCCATCAATTCCACCTGTTCATTCAGAGCACGTTAGAGCTAGAGGGGACTTTTTTTTTTTAAGTCATCAATTTCATTCTTCCAACTGGTTTGCCGATCCATATTCTAATTTTAAAGCCAAGATTTTTTTTAAGAAAGCGCTGCGATCCTGACAAGTTAAGTAATTCATCATCTTGGTTAGATAATGACATACATAAGAGTATGTATGACCCAGGTCTCCTCATGCTTGGTTTCAAAATTACATCATGCAGTCTCATTAATTAAAAAAAAAAAAGTCTATTAAAAGTCTTAAAAGTTTGGGCTGAGATTTATAAATCTGCAGATATGTTATAAAGAAATAACCAAAAAAAAAACAAGACAGAAAGAAAGGGATAGAGAAAATATTCATTTCTAGTCAGTCATTTACCTGGGTGCACATTCGACTCAGCTGGGGGCTCTCCAGAGTCCCCATGCCCAGGTCTGACCCCAACCCAATTCCATCATAACACCTGTCAGTAAGAAACTGACTGGTGACTCCAATGCATAGCCAACCTGGCGTGCCATCGATTTACTGGAGTTCAGGCTAAAATAGCTGTGTGGAGACTAAAACCTTAGTTTTCAAAAGAAGAAAAAGGAAAGAACAAGGAGAAAGGAGGAATCATTGATATGACATGATCTTCAATTTATCTGTTATCCTCTGCATACTTTAGTGGGCTAATCAGATGTGGGGCCGAAATGAGTAGGTCTACATTGGTGATGTCAGCCTGAAACACGCCCACCTTCCATCCCCCCACCCCCACCCCACCCCAGAGCTCCGTGGGCTACAAATGGGGGGAGAACAGGACAGTGTAGGCAATCAGGTTCTATACTCTTAGGGTAGTCACAAATAATCATGATACTTCCTTTTCTAAAAAAGGAGCCCATTGGGCCAGCCAAGTGGCGCGATGGTTAAGAGATGCCTTGGGATGCCAGAGGGCCCCGGCTCAGATCCCACA